GAGGTTCTCCAAGCTCTAGCAGCCTCTAGACCAAGATATCTATCCCAAGATCCTGGAAGCAGGTCTTGGCATATGGAGTCACTGAGTGAGAGGTCCAGCCCATGATTGAGGAGACAAATCTATAGTAATATTCCTGCGTCAGTGATGGCTGCATTTATTTACTTGTTTTTCACTTAAGAAACATTTATTGAGGAAGCATCTTGAGATGGCCAAAGATGAACAAGACACTTTGTCTTGTAAAGAATTTACCAAGGAGACGGGTATTCTTGACTGAGGATACTTTGTCTCTCAGGGGACATTTGGCAGTGTTTGGGGACTTTTTGGTTGCCATGACTGGAGGGAAAGGGCAGAGAGGGAGAGGCTAAGATTGACATTCAGTGGGTGGAGGCCAGGGATAATATCGAGCAAAGCACAGGTCAGTCCCTACAGCAGAGAACTGTCTAGTCCGAAATGCCAATAGTGACAAGACTGAGGACCCCTGGTAGTGGACAGGTCATGCAAGATGTCACTAAAGTTGCTGTGGGTGCAGGCCGAGGACAAAGCATCATCATCGCAAAGTTTCACACTGGACCACCAATAGGAAGTTCAGGGAAGTGCCTTTAAAAGCAGGATCCCAGAAACCGCTGAGGATGAAGGATGCTATCGGGATGAAGTAGGAAGGAAGATCAGAAACAGCTGCAAGTGAAAATCAGCTGAAGTGAAAATCTGAAATATATATATATATATTTTTCACCTTTCTGTCTTTAACCCTAGGGAGCTTTTCTAATAAAATGGGTCCCTGCCCTGCGGATGGTGATCTCAGTCTCTTGAAAGAAGACCGTGAATCACGCTCTCAGGTAAGACGAAGACTGTATGAGTTGGCATCAGAAGGTTCACGGAAACAGCAGCCCCTGATTGTTAACTATGATTTCTTACAACATATTTCTAGGTAGAAAGTAATTTGGTCTTCAAAGCAGGTTTTTGAAGTGCAGGCCATGCTCAAGTGGCGGACGTCTGAGAAATCAGTGATGCCAGTAAATTTTTATTACATCCGAATCAGACTGTTTTAAGCCATTGAAGACTTTAGTTAAGTGAATCAGCCTACAAGATTCTTTCTAGCTTGGACAGAGGGATTAGAAAATGTGCTGGATGAGCACATTTCTGTGATTCGTTTGCCATAATCATGGTGGTCACAAAGTCTGTGTAGAAGCTATCTTGGTAAACTTTGATCAGTTAAGTTGCCTGGGTGTGCAGATCATTGGTTAAATTAATTTTTTCTGTTATTACCGAATCCAGTTTTCAGATACTTAACTGTTTCCAAATCTCTTTCTACCTAGATTGACTGACTGAATTTTAAGTATCCAGCAAAGTTAGCTTCATTAGAGACTTGAGGTAAAAGGGTTACCTACTACACCTGATCCCTTCCTTTATAAGTTATATGAATGATTATCTTAATTCCCCACTTTCCTGACTAAATAGATAGAGTCAGGAATTGCTTAAAGACGTTTTGGTCAGTGATGGACCACATATATGGAGGTGGTTCTGTAAGACTAGTTATCAACTAGTACCTAGCTGTCATTGCCCAAATTTTCTCTCTGATGTTCAAACAATGACGAAATTACCTAATGGACATATTTCTTGAAACATACCCCTGTCATTAAGAGATGCATGACTGGATGGGTCTATGGAGACCACTTTCATGGTCTCAAGACTGACTTTTAAGTCAGACACCCTCTCTCTCTCTCTTAAATCTCATCTCTAAATAGTGGGCCATGCTCTAATCATACAGATGACAGAGTTTCTAATGTCCAGGTGGCTACTTGGAGTATTGACACTTGGCCGTTGGCTCTGGAGCCCAGTGTGTGCTAACGAGGAAAGCTTAAGAGTCAGAAGTTTACTGAGATTTGTAACATTGAGAGACAACATTTCCTGAGTGTTAGGGGATTCTAAGGTGCTGGCAAATGTTCTTGGCCTGCATCAAGTGACTCATCGTGTTCTCACAACAAAGAATGGGGTAGATGCTGCTATTATCATCATTATCTCCATTTTATAGGTGAGAAAAGCGAAACACAGCAGAGGAACTAAATTAGCCAAAATTACGTTGCTCATAAGTGTGTCCCTGGGCTTTGAACCCAGACTGTCTGGCTCAAGAACCTGTGTTTGTATTGATCATTTAATAATCCTTCCCCCCCCCTTTTAGCCAGGCCTTTGTTTTCTACCCCTTGGTTTTCTAAAATCTTAAGGGCTATGATGTGAAAACCAAGGGACAATCTTCAACAAGAAAAAAAAAAATTGAAACAAAGCTCACCTCCTTTTAGTGCACAATATATAAAGTACTTTATGAGAACTAAAGGAAGGACATTATGGATCTGATACTTGCCTTTTTACATAGTTTGCAAAATTCTCATACTAATGACTGACCTTAAACTTTGGAATCAAAAGAAAGGCGAAAGTAGGTAAATTGGGAGTGAATATAATCTCTCCAAAAACCTAAAAATTCTTCCCTACATTTTCTGAGTTTGCATGTTCCAACTGAGTTTCTTTTTTTTCATTTTATTTCTAACATTGTATTCCACAAATGACAGGTCAGTTTTTCCAGAGAGTAAGTTCCTCTCTGGGGGCCAGGTGCATTGGGAAGAGGTCTCAAATCTGAACCACTTGCAGGAGAAACATGGGCATGTTGGGAATATTGTCAGTAATGTCAGTACAGGGGGAAGACAGACAGGACAGACAGACACGACAGACAGACAGTGTTGTAGCTAAGGCCTGTGGTACCACTTTCCAAGACTGGACTCACCACCCTTCATAATCAACACTATTTCAGTGGAAGCATTTCAACTTTTTTTTTCCTCTCTACTTCTCATGGTGTCAGGAAATAGTTTGCATCTTCAGTTGATATTAAAGATTCTGGCCTAGGCAATTTGTTGAGTGACTGTGGGAAAATGAGGTTCCTGTGGGATTTTAATAGTAAAGCATCAGTTTTTCAAGTATTAAGTGACCAGAGAACTATGAATTTGCGGTTCCAAGAGGCCTGGGATGCTAATTGTCCTCTGGGACACAAATAGAAGACCAAAGAGGTTTCCAGGAGTCTCACATGGTGTGCCCTAAGCTTTGCAACCGAGCACAGCTTGCTTTCTCCCAGGGGTGGTTAATGGAAAGCCTGTCCTGTAAAATTCTCCAGTGAACACGTCAGATGTGAATTTAAAAGAGGGGAAACGCTTCCTGCGGGTGGTTCTCAGGATTTAGGCTGGATTTCTTTTTTAATTTGGATGGCAATAACTACAGCAATGGAAAGAACATGATGTCATATTTATTTGCTTTGATACTTGAGAGGCACCTGGTGTTTGTTGTTGTTACCTGTGACTCGTAGATTCTGTGATCTTGTTAACCCAGCCTCTTAGCAGAGTGTCTCCACCCCAAACCTTCCTCCTTTGCCTTCTTAAAAGATGGTGAGCATCGCTTGGGCTGGCATGAAAGCTGCCAGGCCTCCCTTCTGTTCTTCCCCGGGCAGCTCAAAAGCATTTGTAATCCCCAGGATTCAGCCCTTTCTTCACCATTTCCTTTTTCTAAGGCTTTTTCTCTTTTGATGAAAACAATCCAGTCAGGCCAGATGGGCAGGTGAACAGTTCTTCCCACAATCCTGCAGAAAGACCCTGTAAGGGGAAGAGAAGTTGTTGTTAAGTGGCTCTTAATTATGCCAACACTGAAGCCTCTCCACTAGACTGGTGTCACTGGCCTGTCTCTTTCTGCCACAAAGACCCACCTCTTCCATTATCCTAACCCTTCACTTGGATTCCGTAGCTCAGGCAAAAATCCTCTGAATCACAATAGCGAGCTGAGTTTTGCTTCTTCCCATGAAACACAGTTCAATAGATTTAAATGCCAGGAGCGTAGACAATTTTGAAACCTGGTTCCTGCAACATGTCCTAGCTAGCAACTTCATAGAAACCCTATAACATATGCACAAAAAGCAATGTTAAATGCTCAATCACTCATCTATGCTGAATAATGAACTGGGCCAGGATACCACTTATATCCTGAATATGCTAAAGCATTTTAAGTGCTATTTCCCCTTGCCCCTATGAAAAAAAATATATACAAACATAAATTATATTAAATTATAATACTAAAGATTTACATATTCCTATTCATGTATTACATATGGAATTAATATGATGTAGCACATAATACACATATAAATCCAAGTTTTCATAAAAGTCATATAATTTTTGTCTGGGACAGTTATTATCCTTGTTTTTTAGATTAAAAAACTTCAACTTATGGACCATATCTATGTAATTTTCTTAAGTAGAAAAGAAGACTTGAATGTGTGTATCCTGACCATCACCTGACTACCTTTTTTAATAACCAATATTTTAATTTATCAAAATTCCTTAAAACACATTTTTCCCCTCAGTTTGCATTGCATTTGGAAGAGGGACCCTGCCTTATTTCTCAACCAATGCTGTATTAGAACAGCAATCTTTACACACAAGGTATTTGGACCATTAAATTGAAGATAAGATTTTTAATTTTAGCAATTTATCTTTAAATATTTATTCTTGATTTCTGTAATAGGTCAGGATCTGTGTAGCCATAGACATGAAATATAAAATGTGATGTTACAAAATAAATGGGCATATCAATTTCTCTTTTAAAGTATAGATATTCCTCTTTCTAAAGACATTGCTATCGGAAGAATCTCTGTCTCTGTCTCTCTCTTTTCCAATGGTCTTTGACTACAGTATAGGCCAGAGGGTCTATTTTCTGTTTTAAATATTGGTAATATTATAGGTAAAGCATTATTTATTTTTTTTTAGTTTTAGATGGATATAATATCTTTATTTTATTTATTTATTTTTATGTAGTGATGAGGATCAAACCCAATGTCTCATGCATGCTAGGCAGGCACTGTACCACTGAGCTGCAATCCCAGGCTGATAAAGCATTATTTGTGACTATTTAGATTGGTACAATGCCCTGTGACCAAGCTCACACACCCTGCTACTTATCTGGGAATTTCCCTGTGCATATATACCTCCTTCTTAGAATCAAAACTCTGATTCATATTTTTGTTTATTTTAAGGTCCGTTTATTGAACTAATTTCCAAAATACCCATTTGAAGAAATGTTTAGTGCATTAATTCAGACATTCCTTAAAGAAAGTACAGAAGTCCACAACATCTTGGTGAGATTTAGAATTCATAGGCACTTTTTGTCATACTTAGCAACAGGAGGTGAAGTTCATTGTAAGTTGTACTGTAAGTACTTACTGAAATGACCTCTAACAGTTATTTATTGAGCATCTAGTATGTGCCTGTTGCCATAGTAGGTGTTGTGAAAGACACAAAGAAATATGATACATCCCATTTCTACCACGAATTTAGTTGGAAAGAAAAGGATAGGTATTCATAAACTAACCCAAATGGAAAGCAATGAGATTCACTTTATCACGAAACACCTGTATTTTAGCAGATCAGAAGCTATGGTAGGTAAACCAAATTTATGGTAGTAATTTCTTGGTAGTCATTTCAACTTTCTGTCAAGTAACAATTCTGTCAAGTAAGCAACTCATAAGGAAATGCTATCAAATCATAATTTAAATGTCTACAAAAGTGTGTGAGATAATTCAAAGCTCCCATATTTTGTCAAGAATTTTGGCACTCTTAAATTTAGTTAGTGGTACAGTTATTTCAAAATGCCAGCCCTGAATGATCTGATCAGAACTGCTTTTATTGTCATAAGAGCTACAGAGACTTAGAAAGATAAAAATGGACCGCCAAGACAGGTACTTCAAATTGATGGCTGTCATAAGTGGATTTTGTTCTTAAGGTAATCAAATCCATCAATTCCATAATAAAGGAAACAGTCTCATTGTGTTCACTAGGGATTTGATGACACATCGACATCACCTGCCTCTCTCTCTCAGGTTTTCCTGGTTACTGCATCCTGCCAACCCCAAACAACCTTTTGTAGTTACAAAATATTCCAACTACAGAGTGGTGCTGAAACTTGTATGAACCGATTTCAAGCAATTTCAAGTACTTGGCATCTTACAAATGATAATTAAGAACATGTTAAAAAAAAAAAAAAGGAAAGCAGAGTTTTAACATAACTGTCTTATAGATGCGAGCCGCACCTAATTTTCTACTTTTCTAGACTTGTGGTTTTTCAAATTATTTTTTTCTCATGAACGTTTTGCAATGAAATCTCCTGGGAGATCCCCATATAGCAAATAGCTAAAAGCTGATATGATTTGTGGGGAAAGGGATCGAGAGCCCTCTAGGTTGTTAGCTCTCTCTGTCCCAATACCTTCCACAGTGGGTCTTCCAAGAAGCCATGGTTGAACCAAGGGGCTCAGTCTATCTTCTGGAACCATCATCATGAGTCACAGTTCTCTCAGGTTCTAGTAAATTAGCTCCACAGCCATGGTCAAAGTCCTGAGCTTAAATCTGTGTTGTCAAGAGTCCTAAACTGTGAGACTCAAGGGTTATTAGTGACAAAGCTAGAATGCAGTGATTGGTTGAAGCAGAGAACAGAGGTGAGGACTCCTGAAGTTCTTGGTTCCTATATTCCTGAAACCCAACTGTCTCCCTTGCTTTTTATTGAACTAGTTATTCAAATCTTACTTCAGACACAGTTTTTTTGGCTAGGAGATAGTCCAAGTTGCATTTCTTTTCCTTGCAACTCAAACTCCTAAATGCAAACACCATGATTATGGTTCTGATTGCTTTTGATCGTAACAATTATGAAAGCCATTCCACGTGAGCTAATTCCAAAGTGAACATGCCCGGCTCTGTGCCCCCTGTGGAGATAAGAATTTCGTGAGAAAAATCTGGAGTGGGGAGAACTCATTTCAATGCAAGATCTATGGCTAACTGTGCTTTTTTATGATCAATGATTCTATGTCATGCTGGAGGAAGGGTGCATTTTTTTCATGTATTAATTTCTCTAACAAGGGAAATAGCCTAACTGATCATTCTATGAAGGAAAAATCAACTGTTTGGAGACCCGAAGAACTTGCAGATGATTCACAGGATACATCTTACTTGGAGGAACTGGAAAAACATCGATTTTCTGTTTGGTGAGTAACTGTTTCCTGTCTTTTTAAAATTAAGTTTAAATTCATGAAATCAAACAAGTTTTTGTTCTTTCTCTTATTATTTGTTTAATCAACAAAAGTGATTGTGTATCTGTTTGGGCTACAGAATATGTATCCTGACTTGGAAATGTTTGTAGCCCAGAGAGGGTTGTGAATGTGGAAAACCACAATTATGATGTAATAAGAGTATTTTTTTAATTTCATAAAATGCCGCACACACGCATAGAAGTAAGGTTCTCTAAAAAAGCTTGCGCCAGCGGCTGGGATTGTGGCTCAGTGGTAGAGCGCTCGCCTTGCACGTGCAAGGCCTTGAGTTCGATCCTCAGCACCACTTAAAAATAAATAAACAAAATAAAGGTATTGTATTCAACTACAACCAAAAAATAAATATTTTTTAAAAAAAGTTTGAGCCAAGTCTTAGAGGGAAGATTGCAGGAAAGAATTGGCAACACTGGCAGCAGGCAGAACCCAGAGATGAATTTGCGACAGTAAGTTGTTTTTGGACCAAGAGAAGCAGGTCTTTGGAGGAGTCCCAGAGCCCACGCTTCCATGATTCTTCTAGGAAGGAAAATATGCAAGAGATGCTATTTGAAAAGACTAAATCAGTTCCCTTCTCCTGCATTTTCTCAATTCTCCACTCTTTCTCTGGTGACTTGGCTCCCTAATTCCCCTTTAGGAATGACCTTTTAGAGTCCAGAGCATATAATCTTATACAGTCATTCTGACTTTACCATAGAATTAAAAAGGCTGGGGGTTTCCAAGGATCCCAGAGTTTCAGCTCCAAATTGCTCCTGAAAATGCCACTCCTATGTGATGTTCTTCCAGGGGCCTTCCCATGATGCTCTAGGTCGGGACCAAGAGCAGCAAGTGTAGCTCCCAGGGCCAAATCCTGCCCTCCATTTTTGTCAATGAAGTTCTATGGGAATCACACACGTCCCCTGAGTTATTTATTATCATTGACTGTTTTCCTCTACAGAGGCAGAATCGAGAGGCTGGAACAAAGACAGTGTAGCCCACAGAGCCTCAAATATTTTCTATGTGGCTGTTTACCAAAAATGGTTACCAACTCCTGCTCCACATTGACTTAGAAGCTTCTGTGCTCTTCTATCATGACAAAACTAATATTTTTAAAAATCATTTTTTAATTGACAAGTAAATTTCTTTAACCACTCGTGCATCCATGAACATTGGTGTTGCTTCCATATCTTGGCTCTTGTGAACAATGCTGCAGGGAACAAGGGACCCTCATGTTATTTTTAAGATATTTACATGCCTCCCTCTCTCACCAGCTAGTCTCCTTGTGCATTTTCGTCATCAATTGCAGCCTGTCGAATGACTGACAGCATAGTGTCTTGTGACAACCATTTTATTTGCTCAAAATTCGCAGGGTTATTGATTCAGGCAGGATGCATCATTCAAAGCTATTTGTTGTTCAAAATAAGTCTCAGGGACAGAGAAGAAGACTCCCCCCTCATAATGCAGAAAGGAAAGGTAACATTACCAAAGAGCATGTGAGATGGAAGTTGGGATGTGGCTCTCTTTGGTAACATCATCTACCACATTTTGCTTCATGTGTTTTTCTGTGTGTGGCTTGCAGCATAGAATTTAACAAGTATTTAGTAAACAGAACTTGCAAATTAAAAGAAAATACGTAGGGTTTGTAGTAGATCTACGTGGGCGTGAATTCCAGGTCTATCACTGCTATGTCACCTTGGGCAACTTGTTTGAACTCTCTGAGGCTGTTTCTCTTGGCGTCAAATTGGAATAATAATGCCTGGATTGTGGGATTTGATATTTTTGGGGGAAAAAAAAAAAACGAAAAAAACCCCCCCAAAAAAAAAACAAAAAAAGGAAAATCCTAAAAAAAAACCCCAATAATAATAACCATAAAAAAAAAGCAATTCAAAGAAAAGGCCTTTTTTCCAAAGGTTAAAATAAAGAACTGCTTTGGTTTGGATCTTAACCGTTTTCCAAAAAAGCATGTGCTAACACTTAGTCATATGGGATAATGAACCATTATACATATTGCTATTGGGAGCTTTCGGAAGTGGGGCCCGGTATAAGGAAGTTAGGTCATTGTGGGGGTGCCCTAGAAGCGAATATTGGGACCCTGACCCCTTCCTCTTTCTCTCTTTGGATTCTGATCATCATGAGGTGAGCAGCCTCTTCCACCTTGCACCCCGCCATGATGCACATTGTGTAGCCACAGCGCCAAGTAGCCATGAAATGGACCTCTGAGAACATGAGCCAAAATAAATATTTCCTCAAGTAAGATGTTTATCTCAGGGACTTTGTCACAGCAATGGAAAGCTGTCTAACACAATGGTGTGGGTCACTCTAAGATTATGTCTCACTTTCCATATCTACCTTCCTTTTTGTTGTTCAGATGCATTGAGTATTTTATAACATGGAATCCCTTGCAGTTCATGCCTCTTTTATCTGAAGTATTCTCCCACTTCTTAGTGCTGTGGTTTGCTGTAGGTCTCAGAGTCATTTTTACTTTCCCAGAGAGCTCTGCCTTTCTTGGCTATTGTATATAAAGTAGAATCCATTCCTGTTGTGGTTACTGACTTTCTCATCACCTTGTTTGTTTCCTTTGATGTCCTTACCACAGTTTATAGTAATCTTTTGTATTTGTTTTTATTTACTCAGTTCTGTTACCTCTTACTGCACAGAAGTTATAGTACAAGCCCCTCTGGTCTAGGGTTATCTGGGTCGCCATCTGACGTCTGGGTCATCAGCCCCAAGCTGTAGAGTACTAGGTACCAAATATGATCAGTAAATACATATTGACAAGTAAATAAAGAAATGAGTGACAATTTCATTTATTTCCATGTTTTTATTGGTGCATCATAATTGTACATAGTGGTGGGATTTGTTGTAACATGTTCATACATGAGTGATATTTCTCTATCTCTCAGTCTGGATTATTTCTTATCTCTTCCTTCTCTTGAAATTGCTACTATTTAAAAAAAACAGGTAATATGGAATAATTAGCCACTATATACATTTCTTTGTAAACCAGGGCTGAGGATATGGAGACTGTGCAGACTCCTATAAACTTCTGTTTTAAATAGTCTGAGATACAATCCTTACCATTTCCTTGATGTTTTATTAGAGCTAGTAAATCATTTATTGGGGCAACCTTTGCCTAGATCCTTTCTAAATCCCCATAAAATGCATTTATCACAGAATACTGTACTCCCCAGCTTCAAAGATGCATGACGTTGGGTGGGAAGTATTTGCTCTAGTGAAGCAAGTTCAAGTGTATGTGTTTTCTTTCTCTCTGACTCGTGAACTCCATTGCGTATCCTAACTCACTCTTCTCCCAACCCTGGTGCCTCATTTGAATCTTCTCATTTTGGTAAATTCAGTAGATTGTTTTTGTCTTGTTTTGTTTGTTTGTTTTTAGATATACATGACAGTAAGGTGTATTTTGACGTATTATACACATGTGGAGTGCAACCCACTCCAATTTGGATCCCATTCTTGTGGTTGTATATGATGTGGAGTTACACTGGTCATGTATTCATATACAAGGACAGGAAAATTATGTCAGATTCACTCTATTGTCTTTCCTATTCCCATTCCATCTCCCTTCCCTTCATTCTCCTTTGTCTCATCCAATGAACTTTTAAACTTCCCCGCCCTAACCTCCCTTGTAATAGGTTAATATCCACATATCAGAGAGAACATTCCACCTTTGGGTTTTGGGGACTGGCTTATTTCACTTAGCATGGTATTCTCCAGTTCCATCCATGTACTGGCAAATGCCATAATATCATTCTTCTTTATGGATGAGTAATATTCCATTGTGTAGAGATGCCACACTTTCTTTATCCATTCATCTGTTGAAGGGCACCTAGTTGGTTCCATAACTTGGCTATTGTGAATGGAGCTTGCTATTATTATTGATGTGGCTGCATCACTGTAGTGTGCTGATTTTAAGTCCTCTGGGTGTAAGCCAAGGAGGAGAAAAACTGGGTCAAATGGTGGTTCCATTACAAGTTTTCTAAGGAATCTCCCATAATGCTTTTCAGAGTGGTCACGCCAATTTGCAGTCCCACCAGCAATGGATGAGTGAACCCTTTCCCCACATCCTTGCCAACATTTATTGTTACTTGTATTCTTGATAATGCCATTCTGACTGGAGTGGAGATGGAATTTTAGTGTAGTTTTAATTTGCATTTCTCTAATTGTTAGATAGGTTGAACATTTTTTCATATATTTGTTGATTGATTGTATTTCTTCTTCTGTGAAAGTGTCTGTTCAGTTTCTTAGCCCATTTATTGGTTGGGTTATTTGATTTTTTTTTTAGTGTTAAGTTTTTGAGTTCTTTGACTATCTTGGAGATTGATGCTCTATCTGAGGTGCAGGTGATAAAGATTTTCTCCCATTCTGTAATCTCTCTGTTTGCATACTTGATTGTTTCCTTTGCCGTGAAGAAGCTTTTTAGTTTGATCCCATCCCATGTATTGATTCTTGATTTTACTTCTTGAGCTTTAAGAGTCTTTTTAAGGAAGTCTGTTCCTAAGCCAACATGATGAAGAGTTGGGCCTACTTTTTCTTTTAGTAGGCACAGAGTCTGTGGTCTCACATCTAGGTCCTTGATCTACTTTGAGCTGAGTTTTTGTTCAGGGTGAGAGATAGGGTTCTAATTATATTTTGCTCTACATGGATTTCCAGTTTTCCCAGCACTATTTGTTGAAGAGGCTATCTTTTCTTCAATGAATGTTTTTGGCACCTTTGTCTATTGTGAGATAATTGTGTTTGGGTATGTCTCTGTGTCTTCTATTCTGTCCCATTGATCTTCAGTTCTATGTTTGTGCCAATACCACTTATTTATTTATTTATTTTACTATAGCTCTGTAGTATAATTTTGTGTCTGGTATTATATATGACGCCTCCTGTATTACTTTTCTCAGTAAGAATTGTTTTGTCTATATGGGCCTCTTTTTTTTTTTTTTTTACAGGGGAACAGG